ACTTTCATTTGAGCTCTTCTACCCTTTTTTCCATTATTAAATTTATTAACAACTTTATGAAATAAATGCAAAATTGATACCTACAGAGAATCACGGCTATAAATATCATGTAAGCAAGAAAATAAGGTACAGTAAACGATCAAAATTCAGGACAGAATAAAACGAATAAGGTGCGTCGTAAAAGAAATAATTATATCGTCTCTCGTGAATGACTTACACGGAGTTGTCCGAAGTGTTTTACGGTGTTTGGACTGATTGGTAGAAAGTGCATGGTTTTTTATCCCCTCGCCATAGAGTTAAAGGGGATAGGATATACACTGTATAAACAAGTCAATTTGATGAACCTCCCCATGATATGTTATGAACAGGTCAATTTAATGAACCTCCCATGATATATTATGAAGAAGTCAATTTGATGAACCTCCCCATGATATGTTATGAACAAGTCAATTTGATGAACCTCCCCATGATATGTTATAAACAAGTCAATTTGATGAACCTCCCATTGATAATGTTATGAACAAGTTAATTTGATGAACCTTCCCGTGATATGTTATGAACAAGTCAATTTAATGAACCTCCCCATGATATATTATGAACAAGTCAATTTGATGAACCTCCCCATGATATGTTATGAAGAAGTCAATTTAATGAACCTCCCAATGATATGTTATAAACAAGTCAATATGATGAACCTCCCCATGATATATTATGAACAGGTCAATTTGATGAACCTCCCCATGATATGTTATAAACACGTCAATTTGATGAACCTCCCATTGATAATGTTATGAACAAGTCAATTTGATGAACCTTCCCGTGATATGTTATGAACAAGTCAATTTGATGAATCTCCCCAAGATATGTTATGAACAAACCCATTTGAGGAACCTCCCAATGATATGTTATGAACATGTCCTTTTGATGAACCTCCTCATGATATGTTATGAACAGGTCAATTTGATGAACCTCCCCATGATATGTTATGAACAGGTCAATTTGATGAACCTCCCCATGATATGTTATGAACAAGTCAATTTGGTGCAATTTGATGAACATCCCGTGATATGTTATGAAAAGGTCTATTAGATGAACCTCCCCATATGTTATGAACAAGTCAATTTGATAAACCTCCCCATGATATGGTATGAACAAGTCAATTTGATGAACCTCCCAATGATATGTTATGAACAAGTCAATTTGATGAACCTCCCCATGATATGTTATGAACCAGTCAATTTGATGAACCTCCCCAAGATATGTTATGAACAAGTCAATTTTATGAACCTCACCATGGCATGTTATGAACAAGTCAATTTGATGAACCTCCCCATGATATGTTATGAACAGGTCAATTTTATGAACCCCACCATGGCATGTTATGAACAAGTCCATTTGATGAACCTCCCCATGATATGTTATGAAGAAGTCAATTTGATGAACCTCCCCATGATATGTTATAAACAAGTCAATTTGATGAACCTCCCATTGATAATGTTATGAACAAGTCAATTTGATGAACCTTCCCGTGATATGTTATGAACAAGTCAATTTAATGAACCTCCACATGATATGTTATGAACAAATCAATTTGATAAACCAACATGATATGTATGAACAAACCCATTTGAGGAACCTCCCAATGATATGTTATGAACAAGTCAATTTGATGAACCTCCCCATGATATGTTATGAACATGTCCTTTTGATGAACCTCCTCATGATATGTTATGAACAAGTCAATTTGATGAACCTCCCCATGATATGTTATGAACAGGTCAATTTGATGAACCTCCCCATGATATGTTATGAACAGGTCAATTTGGTGCAATTTGATGAACATCCCCATGATATGTTATGAGAAGGTCTATTTGATGAACCTCCCCATATGTTATGAACAAGTCAATTTGATAAACCTCCCCATGATATGTTATGAACAATTCAATTTGATGAACCTCCCCATGATATGTTATGAACAAGTCAATTTGATGAACCTCTCCATGATATGTAATGAACAAGTCAATTTGATGAACCTCCCCATGATATGTTATGAACCAGTCAATTTGATGAACCTCCCCAAGATATGTTATGAACAGGTCAGTTTTATGAACCTCACCATGGCATGTTATGAATAAGTCCATTTGATGAACCTCCCCATGATATGTTATGAAAAAATCCATTTGATGAACCTCCCGATGATATGTTATGAACAAGTCCATTTGATGAACCTCCCCATGATATGTTATGAAGAAGTCAATTTAATGAACCTCCCCATGATATGTTATGAACAAGTCAATTTGATGAACCTCCCCATGATATGTTATGAACAAGTCAATTTAATGAACCTCCCCATGATATGTTATGAAGAAGTCAATTTGATGAACCTCCCCATGATTTGTTACGAACAAGTCAATTTGATAAACGTGCCCATGATGTTACGAACAAGTCAATTTGATGAACCAATATATTGTGCAACAGATACACTAGTGTCTGCACAGAACCAGTTTTCCTCACGGAAGTATATGGAGACGTAAATTAAGCCATTCCTGTATTATACATATTCAACTTTGTTTAAATTATGGCCTGCTGGGCTTGTGGGAGCTGCACAGTTGGGTAAACAAGTAACTGTAAAATCACATGTATTTGGGGGGGGGGTCAAATTTTTGAGGTTTGAGGAAAAAATAATAGTTTGTAAGAACTTGATTTTATGATTGGAGAATGTTTAAGTGTAATGCATCTGAAATATAAAATTTTGTGGTGGTCAAATATTCATGGGTCTCACCATGCCTGGAAAACAACAAAAATTACTTTATTTTAAGTGAGAAATGTTACTCTCTGATAAGTTTATGTTACAGTGATTTCTACAACCTCCTTCAAAGTTGGCATTTCATAAATTCTTTGGCCAATACAACACAAAAAAACGTAAGGAGTTGGGAGATTTAACATTTTTATTTATTTTTCTTCTCAAAAGCACTGAAGACAAGGTACACGTAAATTTCCTTGTCTTCTACATAGATGAATTAGTTCAAATTTTTTATGAATTGACAGTTCTAAAAAAATAAAAATATATAGACAAGGAATAAATAGACCAAAAACAAAAGGAATCAATAAATACAGCAAAACTCATTTAGTATGAACACAGATATTGCGAATTTAAGGATATAGCGAAGTCATCTTGGATCCCCAGTTATATAAATTTAATGAATTTCTTATACAGTTAATAACGAATTACGGATATAACGAAGTAATTTCATAGGTCCCAGTGACTTCGTTATAAAAGAGTTTTACTGTATTCAACCTTTTTATGTATTAAGCTTTGCCTGCGATTCTATTAAGTTTAACAGATCAGCAGTCATTATTCTTACTCGAGTCAATCACCCGAAATAGTCCTTAGTTTTTTTTTCAGATTATTTCCTTCATCAGCAGTTCATCACAGATTTTCTGAGATCACATGTATTGGAAGTTGACCTTTGGCCTATGAATAATTTGATCAACTAGGTGTGCAGTCTACATCACCATCTTTTGCTGCCTTTAACTTCTTGAATTCTTCTTGGATCTCTTTTTCCATCTGTAGAATTTCCTTTGGCTTCTTGTACTAAATGAAAGTCAATATAGTGGAAATGTGTGAATATTTGATACAAAAAACAAAATTCTCCATTTATCACTGTTACTCCACTTTAAAATTTCTCATTATAATTTATTTAAAGAACTTTTAAAAACATTATTTTCATGTTTTCTTAATTTATGTTTCATATTTGATGAACTTAAATTGAAAAATGTTCCAAATGTTTTAATATTTTGAAAAACATTTTAAATCTAATCTAAATGTATAAATGAACCACATCAAGTACAGGAAAACACACTTCAAGCAAAGTGCCAGGGACATATAATTTTGAATCGTTGTAGACATTATTCATTATATCCATTAAGATTATAATACATTTTTAAACCACAGGGAGTCACCTGATTGGCGCAGCGGTTAGAGTGTCTGCTCTAGAGTGGCAGAATAACGAAGGAGTCAATCCTTACGTTTTAATCCCACTGTGGGATGTGGAGACCAATCCTTTGAATGAGATTACATAAACCGAGGTCCCATGTCGCAGTAGGTGTTAACATAAACAAGAGATGTTTGTAAAACACTTAATAATCCCCCCCCTCTAGCCCACAAATTGGAATTTTTCCAAGTCCAATAGGACATAACTCTGTCTAAAATTGTGCGATCATATCCAAAACAACAAGAGATGTTTGTAAAACACTTATGCCCCCTCCCCCTAATTGGATTTTTTCCAACTCCAAAAGGGCATAACTCTCTTAAATGGTGCGATCGTACCCAAAACAGTTCTTGACTTAGATATTCAGCTGAAAAATATGTATACTAAATTTCATTTCAGTTTGTGCAACCTCTGCAAAGAAAATGAACGGAAATTGCAAATAAGTGGAATTTTTCTAAGTCCAAGGGGCATAACTCTATCAAAAATTGTGCGATCATACCCAAAACAGAACTTGAGCTCGATATTCAGCTGAAAAATATGTATACTAAATTTCATTTCAATATGTGCAACCATTGCAAAGAAAATGAACAGAAACTGCAAATAAGTGGAATTTTTCTACGTTCAAGGGGCATAACTTTAACAAAAAGAGTGCGATCGTATCCAAAACAGAACTTGACTTAGATATTCAGCTGAAAAATCTGTATACTAAATTTCATTTCAATATGTGCAACCATTGCAAAGAAAATGAACAGAAACTGCAAATAAGTTGAATTTTTCTAAGTCCAAGGGGCATAACTCTAACAAAATGGGTGCGATTGTACCCAAAACACAACTTGACTTAGATATTCAGCTGAAAAACCTTTATACCAAATTTCATTTCAGTATGTGCAACGGTTTTGAAGAAAATGAACGGAAACTAAACGGACCGACAGACCGACAGCAGCAAAGCAATATGCCCTCTCTTCTTTGAAGGGGGGCATAAAAAGATCCCTCACTGCTCCATGGCCATAAGTGTCGAGTATAGGACAAAAATTTGCAGCTCTTAACCGGCAAGTGGTGGTGTCTTCATAAGAGTGAAAAATTCTTGAGAGGGACGTTACACAACAAACAAACAAAGCTACAGGGATTGAAAATCACTTAGATGTAAATGTGAATGCATATTATATTATTTGCTATACAATGTAACTGTGTTTTACTGTGCTGTAAATGTAGTACATGGAAGTAAATTCACTGTACATGATTTTTTTTGTATGTGTGTCATAGCCTCATAGGTATTTGAATGTCTTAAATGTATCATCAATGTGCCACATGATGACCTCCTTGCATATAGTCAATCAATATTCAGAATTTCTAGAATTTGCACTTCTAAAATATATAAAATATAGTTCACGTAGTAGCATAATTTTGAATTGTAGCTCATTGGTCAGGAAATATTAAATAGAGAAGTCTGAGGACCTCGATCCCCACTTTTTAATAACAGTAATAAGCTACAGATATGCAAATACACAGATTAAACTCTTCATTATGATTATATCTCAGAATTGAGTTTTTTGGAGGACTGTCCCTGACAGCCTATATGTTCCTTACAAAACGACAGGCCTAAGTAAGCAAGCACGATTATGTCTACTAGGTGAATATTATAATAAATTTATTACAATCAACAGAATATTGAGTAATGAACCTATTAATATAAATACAACTGTACAGAAACTTACAGTTATTATGAGAGTATTGTTGGCATGTGCTATACTCAGTGCTTTTTGTTCTAGAGGTAGCTGTGCTCTGTCCATGTCTGGTATAGGAAACTTCTTAAAATACCTACAAGTATTATCTTCTGTGAGAAATTCTCTCTCCTCTTCAATAAATTCTTTAATCAGATGCTAATAAGCTTTCATTTTCTGTTTCTGCAGCTGTTTATTTTATTTTCTGACTTCAAAATTGCTATGAATTATATATTCATGTCTAATAGTTATAACAAAATATGGCACAAGAAAACATGTGAAATAATAATTCCATACTGTATTTAAATTTTCATGACAAACAAGATTTAAAAAATAAAAACCTATTATTTTGCTAACAAATTGTTTTAATCAAACTTGAAGTCATACAATTTCATTTTTCATATTTTTTGTTTTTTTCATCGTTTATAAAGTAATCGCTTACTTTTTATTAGTGGTACTAACAGTAATTGTCCTATTCTCAGGGTCAACCGTTACATTGTATGTTTCTATTGGATAGGGTAAGTTTCTAATTCTCCACTGAAATGATAAAGCAGTGTCTTTTCTGGCAAAAATTGGCTACAAAAGAAAAAAAAATAAATATCAAATAAATCAAAAATGAGAAAACAAAGGCAAAAGTTTCTTTTCCCAATTTTCCAATTTGAAATACATTGTACAGTCAAAATTCTGCCAGTGTATCATGTTATTTAGAGGTACATGTTTGCAACACAAAAATAAATAGTTGATTGCCCTCTCCCAGCTGACTGGCTAAAAACATCTTATAGCCTGACTCAAACTTTTTTCAACTTCCAGGAAGATATTTTCCCCCTTTTTTAATTTGCTCTTCAATTTTTGCATTCCTTCAACATACAGTACCTGGCCATAAGTGAGTCATAAAATGGCGTCTCAAAATATCCACTTCCCTCCTTGATGAATGATTTTTGCTTTATACTGTTAATAAGTATCGCGCAGGTAAAAGTTGAAAACATTATCACTTCGAGGGGGATCTAAGACAAGTGATCATGACGTCATATTTTATGATGTGACGTATTTGGGTAAATAGAGCATCTGTATAAAGATGGCTTCTAAAAGGAAACAAATGTCAACACCGGTTAAAGAATCGATTATATCAATGACTAATAGTGGAATTAAACAAAGTCAAATTGCAGAATTATTAAATGTAAGTCAATCTTCAATATCTCGATTTCTGAAACGATTTCAGCAACGTAGATCAACGGAAAATAAGCCCCGAAGCGGTCGTCCGAGAAAAACGGATGTTCGTGGTGACCGAAAAATAATTAGGTGTTTGAAGCATGATAGGCGACAGACTTTGGGTGATATTACTGCGGAGGCAAACAATGTTCTACCAAATGTTTTATCTACAAGGACTATTAGAAGACGTCTGCGGGCTAACAATTATACAAGAAGGAAAATACGGAAGACACTCACTATTCGTAAGGAGAATAGAAATCGTCGGGTTCACTGGTGCAGAGGAAGATTACACTGGACAGTTAACAACCAATGGAAAAAAGTGATTTTCAGTGATGAAACACAAGTCGTAATTGATCAAAATAAAAATGTATTTGTTTGGAGACGACCCGACGAAGTTTATCGACCAGAATGTTTGGGCGTTCGCGGTACAGGGAAGTACTCCGCAATGTTTTGGGGATGTATAACTTATCAAGGAATTGGAACTTTTACTGAAGTTGATGGCACAATAAATTCACAGAAGTATATTGATATACTAGACACAAATTTATGGCCAGTGATAGCTAGGCATTTCCCTACAAATGACTATCTTTACCAAGATGACAACGCACCGGTACATACTTCGTTTGCTACGAAACAGTGGAAGATTGAAAATGAATTAAAATCTATGACCTGGCCCTCACAATCCCCTGACCTAAATGTTATCGAAAATGTTTGGAGAACAATAAAAATTAAACTTCAAAGAGAAGTACACCACATTCACAGTCGCGCAGAACTTATAAGTAAAGTCAAAGAAATCTGGCAGTCCTTGCCTCTCCACTACATACGGAGCTTATATGCATCGATACCGGCTCGATTACGACAGGTCATCAGGTCTAAAGGCCATGCAACAAAATATTAAACCATCAACTGTAAGTACTTGTTTACTTTTGAATGATTCGCATTTTTGTTTTGAAGTTTATAAATTTCACGCTACGTCACGTCGGCCATTTTATGACTCACTTATGGCCAGGTACTGTATATGTTAAAACTTTCTGAGAGATAAAAAAAATTTCCACCTACACATACATACATTTTTTTAACCTGGGTCGGGAGAACATGGAGAAGGCAAGGAAATATTATTTTACAAATAGCCTAAAACAAAGGTTTAAGAGCAGTGACTCTACATACATGCCCAGTGCTGAAATCCTACTTTATAACACCCTGCTTATCCTTTTCTTAGATACTAACATTTGCTGCACTCTCCAACAGGCCCTCTGAGTCTAAGTTTCTGGGAACTAACTGCTCTCCAACTTCAAACTCCCATTTTGACTCCTTTACACCTAGTGTTGCTTTTCTTCTCCATTTTCTTGCTAAAATAAAATAAAGTGCCAATTATATTAAGTTACATTGATTTGTATATTATGCCATTATTGTTTCTGAGTTCAATATAATTAAAATTAAGAGAAGTAGGCCTACTATACATGTAAGTGGATTCGGAACATATAAATTTTAACACGTTTTAAAAAAGATTATGTACTATATTATATTGTTTTGAAAATTATAAGTTTTTTCTTACAATATTAAAATTAAAGGATATCATGATACTATAGCTGCATGCATGTGGCTATAATTAATTCCACCTCTTTGTCTTTTATATCATATCTTTTATAGATTCATATGAAGCATTTTTTCATGAAAGCCATGTTAAGAAAAAAAATTAAAAATTGCCCTGTTTATAACCAAAATAATTTTGCAGATTATCATCAATAATTCTTTGACAAAATTTTATAGCGAGCGCAGCAAGCGTTGCGAAGCCACGCTCGCGAAGCGAGCTCAATAGACTAACGTGTATGAACAGAGGAAATTCGGATTGAAATCTGTACATACGTCAGGCAAATTTCTCTGTGAAACATTCCCAGAATTCCTGCGCTACCCAATGTCCTTTGCGCGAATAAATAAATAAATAATAACGTAAAGCATAAAAGGCTATCAGTTTGTAGATATCTTAATTTCAAATTAACAAAAAATAACTCTGCAATGTTTTTCGACAAAAATTGCACTGGCTCTATAGTTTCAACCAGACGCTCGGCTGTCTTCGTAAGCTCCGACGATCTCCGTGACGTCGTGTGACGTCACATGTAGTCGAGAGGTCTCGTGTGGCTTGATGTTTGAAGTGGCAGATCAATTTTTCAAGTATTTTTGATGGTACAACTGCGCTCGCCCCAACGGTCACACTGTAAAACATATTAAAGAACTTAAAAGGCTATCATACGTATAGATAGTACATACAAACAAGTTCTGATGTTTTCAAGTCATACTCTTCTGCCATCTCTGTTCCGTCTGGAAATACGAAATGAATTTTTCTTCTTCCTAAAAATATCAGAACAGAAACATGAGAAATTAATGTAATGAACTTTTTCGTCTTATTATGAAGGTGTCAACCGGGAGGATAAAATTCTACTGTCCATTCTGATGTGTTATCTGACATGTGAGAGATACATAAGAACGACAAGACATGATTAAACTAGTAAACTGGACTCCTTTTTCCTGGCACAAACATGGGCAACAAATGATATCGTATTATGATGATAATGTTATCAAAACTTTTATCTTAAGCCAATTTTTTTCCTACGCTAAGTTGTGGGACATTTTAAAATATTTTACTTCTCACCGTCTTGTATCATGCACGTTTTCTGTGCCGTCTTCAATTTCTCAATCCATGCGGACGCCATGTTGTTTTTACTAGTAACAGACCAATTTTACCTTCTCTGCACAAAAGATTGAAATTTTCGATAACTCAAAAGATTTTCATTTAAATAATCATGCATGGCAATGCCTTTACAATAAAGCATGGAAATATGAATAAAAAATTATGAACGTAGTTAATAAAATTCACAATACATCAAAAAAAAAAAAAAAAAAAAAAGAAAGAGAGAGAGAGTTTTCATTGGAATGAGTCCTTTCAGTTTTCCGCGGGAAATTTGAAAACTCGCGATCTACATCAGGTAAGATAAAAGTGATTCAATTTTATTCTACATTTTCTACACAGATAGTTCGCTTTCATGAGGGGAAATCTAAGTCTTCTTTGACATACTTTAAATGTTAATTAATATTACTGCTGGTCGCTCATACAGTTCAGGATGTAGTAATAAATCTAGAGGTACTAGTACTGTGAGCACTGAGCTCACTAAATGATGGTTATGATCACTAAATGACTGTTCTTCAAGAGGATTTACACCGCTCGTGGTCTTTGATAATTGTAGCAAACTAAAGTTTTTAATGTAGCTTTGTCTATAAGATTTTTATGAAGTTTGGGACTCCAGTATACATATAGGAAGGGTAGAATGAACTCACCATGCTCACTTCGGTAATATCTGTAATGTTAAAATATATTTAATACCGAATTCGAAATGTGATTAAGAATTAAGAAATACATGTATACATGTACATGTATGTAAACGTTGGTTTTAATCACAACGAGAGTAAGATGGGTTCAAGATCACCAATGTATTTATTCAGGTCACAAACAAACAAAAGGTTCTGTAAATAAAATATTTAACAAATAATTCACAGACAAACACACATACACAAACACAGCATAAAACACTGAATATTCTGCTCAAGGAAATAATTCCATTTTCCTCATAACTTTCAAAGATCATAAATATCTTTTCATGCATTATATTATATGCAAATTCATCACCATAAAATAATTCACTTTTCTCTATAAGCATCTCCATTCATTGTATCCAAATGAAATTCTATTTACAACACAAATAGACATCACAATAAACACAAACTTCACTAGACACACATCTTACCAAATATATGGTATATGAACCTGATCTGTATACCGGGTATTCCCTTCTCAGTCAGTCATAGCTATAATAAATTATCACAAAGTAAGTCTGACTGATTATTGACAAAATATATAAAACTCATGAAAAATAACTCTTTACTCAAATCTCATTCACATAACTTTCACACTGCATGCTCATAATTAATAATGTTAAAAATGTTAATAAACTGACCTGTTTAGTATATTGTCCAATGTCCATAAGGTCTAATTCAGAATAGTCAAAACTGTAGAAATCAATAAATTATTCTAGAGTCAGTTAACACACTGCTCAATTCAAGGATATTTTTGAAAGTGTCTAAAAATACTTCAGTAGTAAAGTTCTTACCAGAGTATCCAATCAAATACCTGGGTTCATCCATGCATGAATAGCATGCTTGACCAAAATGGGATAACACTATGGAAAAGCCTTAGTGTAATAAATATATACAAACGCTCTTTCTTAACCACTAAGTATGGAAACACATTATGGACAAAAATTAAAAACAATAATTCAAATGGGTTTTTATTAAGTAATACTTTTATTGATAAAAACACGCGGTCACATTCTTCCCCTGCTGCGAAAAATGTTGTCCCCAACATTCGACTTTCAATCGGATATCTACAAGGAAAGAATAAATTAAGTCATAAAAACAGAATAAAATAATTTTGTAATTCAAGCATAAAATAATAGTTACTATGGACTTCTGACTGACTAAACTACTTATCTAATATAACATTAATCATGGCTTGTGATAGATCCTTCTTGTCAATTCCTTCAAATATCTCTGTATCTGCCAGTGCTAATAAAATGTCTATTTTGTTCTTCCATTCAGGTTGTTGACTGTTGGTTGTTACTTGGTTGTTAATGGTAAATTCTCCGGTGGTCATCCATCTGGGCTTTTTTCGGGGTCTTAATGGTCTCAGTGGTCTTTCAGGTGCACTTGCATCTCCTGTCGCTCCTGTCGCTCCTGTCGCTTCAGTTTCTCTGTGTTCTGTCTCTTCTCCATTGGTCACTACTTGAAGTGTTTCCTTAGGTTCAGTATGATGAACTTCTCCTGATTCTGTCTGATCAGTGGTATCTTCAATCTCTTGTACTCTGTCTTCCTGACTTGTACTGTGCTCGAGCTCTATTCTTCCTGTATCTTTTGATGTGTGACCTTGTCCTTGGTTTTCTATCATAGTTACTGTAGAACTGTCTGTCCTTTGTCCTGTTTGTGATTTCTGGGTATCAGCTGTACCGGTGTTGTGTTTAACAACCACTACTGATTCCGTCACAAATTCATCCTCTGACTCACTGCTGTCACTCTCCGTTTGTTGTTTCTGTTGTTTAGAAGCTCTGGTTTTGATTCGGCGTGGTGCTGGTTTTGGCTTCAACAATTCTTGCTCTGAGGTGTCAATATTCTGGAATGGTAACAGTAAATTTCTGTGTAATGTTCTTGTTCTTTCTCCATTACTGACTATGAATACTGGGATGGATGGGTTAGGTTGGTCTACTACATCATATGGTGTTTCTTCCCATTTATCGGACAGTTTGTGTTTTCCTTCGAATGCGACTCTCTTTACTAAAACTTTATCTCCTGGTCTTATTTCTGCGTTTCTGGCTTTTAGGTCATATTGATGTTTCTGTTTCTGTTGTGACTTCTTGATAAACTGCTCAGCAACTCTGTAAGATTCCTTTAAGTTTGTTTTCAGATTCTCAATGTACTGATCCATTGTATTGCCTTCTGAGGAATCTGGTAAGCCAAAAATGACGTCTGCTGGTAATTTTGGTTCTCTGCCGAACATTAAGTAGAAAGGTGAAAATCCCGTAGAGTCCTGTCTTGTTGAATTGTAAGCATGCACTATAGATGAGATGTAAGTTTTCCAGTCTGCTTTTTGAGTTGTTTCCAAAGTACCTAACATTTTAAGTAGTGTTCTATTGAATCGTTCGCAAACTCCATTCCCCATTGGGTGATATGGTGTTGTCCTGCTTTTCTTGATGTCCATAATTTTACAAAGTTCCGAAATGATTTGTGATTCGAATTGAGGTCCTTGGTCGCTATGAATTTTGTTTGGGATTCCGTAGTGAAGAATAAAATGTTGAAATAAAGTTTCTGCGGTGGTTTTGGCTGTTTGATTCTTGGTCGGGATGAATTGTGCAAATTTGGTGAAATGGTCAGTAATTACGAGTATGCTGTTGTATCCTCCTTTCGATGTTTCAAGGGTAAGATAATCCATGCATAGTATTTCCAATGGGTGATGAGATGTTATGTTCACTAGTGGAGCTCTTTCTGTTGTGGATTTTCTCAAGATACATCTTTTGCAGTTCTTTATGAAATACTCGATGTCATTTCCCATGCCTCTCCAGCAAAATCTGTCTCTTATCAGAGCATTCGTTTTGTCTCTTCCTGGATGACCCATGTTGGTGTGTAATAGTTTCAATGCCAGTCTGGTACATGAGTGAGGTAAAATAGTTTGTACTTTCCTCCTGTTGTTTTCTGCTGTTTGTTTAACTAAAATGCCATCTTGGATCTTGAGTCTTTCAAAATTTCTGTGGAAAAATAGATGGTCTTTATAATTTGTCATTGGTAGTTGAAATTTCTGTGGTTTGCTCTGATATCTTACGTTATTGTACCAAAATCTGATGACTGGGTCTCTGCATTGTTGTTGCTTGATATCGATTTCTGAATGGTCTGGCAGTGTTGGTAGATTGTTGTCTATGACTTCAGGTGAAACGGAAATAGATTCTATCAGTGGAACTTGATTCATATTGGAGATGGCTTTAATCGTATCAGTTGGAATTCTCGATAATCCATCAGCATCAGCATTCTGAGATCCTGGTCTGTAGTAGATATCGAATTCAAAATTGGATAGTGCCGCAATCCAGCGTTGTCTAGTGGCATCCAGTTTAGCTGATGAGAGAACATAAGTCAATGGGTTGTTATCAGTTATAACGGTGAACTTATTTCCATACAGATAGTCATGAAACTTCTCGGTGATGGCCCATTTGACAGCTAAAAATTCGAGTTTATGCACTGGATAGTTCCTTTCTGATTTTGATAGTCCTCTGCTGGCATAAGCAATTACTCTCTTGTTGTTGTCCTGAGTTTGGTAAAGTACGGCTCCTAAGCTGGTAGCAGATGCATCCGTGTGTAGTTCAAACGGTAATGAAAAGTCTGGGTATCCAAGTATTGGGTAAGATGTCAATTTCTGTTTCAAAATTCTGAATGATTCTTCTTGATTTTTGTTCCATTTCCATTTAGCGGGTAGTTCTTGTGATGTTCCTTTTCTCTTAGTTTTTCTGTTTCCTTCTGGCATAAGGTCTGTCAGGGGTTTCGCTATCTTTGAGAATCCTTCAATAAATCTTCTATAGTACCCCACGAATCCTAAGAATTGTCGTACTTGGTCTGGGTTTTGTGGTGTTGGCCAATCTATTACCTTCTTGATCTTGTCAGGGTCTGGTTCTATGCCATTTTCTGATATGATGTTTCCTATGTACTTCACTTTCTTTCTGAAAAATTCACATTTCTTGGTGGCTAATTTCAGGTTTACCTCCCTTAGTCTTTTGAATACTTTTTCTAATCTCTCAAGGTGTTCTTCATACGTTTTGGAAAAGATGATCAAATCGTCTAGGTAAATGTAACAAATTTCTAGATGTAATCCTTCAAAACAGTCTTCCATCAATCTTTGATATGTAGCTGGTGCATTTACGAGTCCAAAAGGGAGTCTGTTAAATTCGAAAAATCCAAGCGGGCCAACAGTAAAAGCTGTCCTTTCCTTATGTTGTTCAAATAGTTCGATCTGGTGGTATCCGCTTTTCATATCCAGAATGGTGAAATACTTGTTTCCTGCTAATGCATCTAGGATTTCCTCAGTTCTTGGCAGTGCATAAGAATCTTTCTTGGTCTTGAGATTAAGTTGGCGATAGTCGATGCACATGCGCAACTGGCCGTTCTTTTTCCTGCATAACACAACATTGCTGGACCATGGAGACTTGGATCTTCTGATTATTCCAGCTGAAAGTAATTGGTCTAAATGTTGTCTCACTTCTTTAAACATTGATGGTGGAATTCGACGAGCTTTCTGTTTGAATGGTTCAGGATCCAGAAGTTCAATTTGATGTTTAACTAATGTTGTATGGCCAATATCTGTGTCAGATTTTGAAAAGATGTCAGAGTATTTGTTGATTAAGTTTTGTCCTTCTTGAATCTGATTCCTTGTTAAGTTGTTTTCGTCAATGTTGAGCATCTGTGTCCAGTCATTGTCATCTGTGGTGTTGGTAGAAAAACAATGTTGTTCATTCTCAATCGTCACAGGCTGCAGTTCGCATAATACTGACTTTGGTTGAACACTGACGGTACGAGTCGTTATGTTGTCAATGTAGACTTTCACAAGATTCCTCATCGGATATTTGTAGTTGATAATGGTTGGTGCAATTTCTAAGTCAGATGGGATTACTGATGTTTTTGTTGGTTGTAGTAAGGCTGCTGTTGGTTGATGAGACATTGCCTTGTCTATATAGCCTGTCAAAGTCATGCTGGTATTAGGAGGGATGAGGATACATTTGTTTTCGGCTGATTTTATAATTCCAATTCTGTTGTTGTTTCTTTTTAAATCTTTCTGCAGTAAAACCATGCTTCGGAATGTTAAATACCATGGTGTATGTAGTCGAGCTCTTTGAAGAAAATTTTGACCATGTTGTTCCTGTAAATCATTGAGTAGATGGTGAAGAATGTTGGTACCAAGTAGTATAGGAACATTTCTGTTGTAGTTGTTGTCTGGGACTACAAGTAAAGGGAAATATGTCAAGTTGTTAGAATGTGGTAGTCCTTTTGCTGACATAGTAACTTCTATGTATCCATGGTATGGGAGCTGTTCTCCATTAGCACATTCTATGGAAATAAAGTCTGATATAGGATGCAGTTGTAAATGTCCTAAATGTTCTCTATAAAATGTTTCACTAATTGTTGACACGGTGGATCCAGTATCTAAAAGTGCTTTGGTGATTTGATTCTCAATCTGTATCTCAACCTCTGTCGTTTCTCCCACTAGATAAGTGTCAGTTATGGGGCTCCTCGACGGTAGACCGGACGTGTGCCCCTTGACGGCGGTCTGCTGTAGTTTAAATGTCGGCGATGGTCAAGAAGTACCCTACAGCCTTGTGCTATATGTCCATACTGTCCACATCTAAAGCACTGTATATCCGATCTCCTCTGGCCTCTTCCTTGATACTGATAGTATTGTCGATTATCATATCTCTCTCCGTACTGTGCAGTTTGTTCATCCTCATATCTCTTTCCATCTCTACTTCTGTTTACATCTGTATTCACTGGTTTATCTCTTCTATTTCCAGCATAGTCTCTCTTTTCCGTTTCTATCTTTCTTAATCTTGCATTCATCTGCTGAACTAATCCCTTAAGGTCTGAATCACTTTCATCCTCACGACTGTCTTGATCCTGATAATTCGCAGCAATAGCCATTGTTGTTGTTTTACGATTCTCGTGTTCCTTCTCTATGAGTCTAACTTCCTTTCTGAGATCATCAAAGTCCTTTATGGTATCATACTTATAACCGGTTATGTCCTTTAGCCATTGTTGTAATCCGTTCCAAAATCTTGATCGAAGTTTTTCATTTCTCTCACTTTCCTGAACTATTCCCTTCATCAAAGCCTTCCTGAAAATTTCTTCGAGTCTACAACTCCACACGATGCTATCCTCGCCCTTCTTTTGACTTGTTCTATAGAATTCTTCCATGATGTTTTCTCCTCTTTCCACACTTCCAAATATATTATCAAGTTTATGTAACATCTGCTGGACTGATGCATCTGGGCCAAGCTGCATAATGGCCTTACTTGCCTCACTTCTTAGTGATCGTCTAATGGCTTGCGCTATTGTTGCTTCATTGTATTGTGCTTTAATCAGACATTCCACCTCATAATGCCATACGTCGTAGTTGTCTTCCTTCCTTCCATCTCCCATGAACACTGTAATTTTTGGAACATAATTTGTTGTTGTTTTGGTGGTGGATGTTGTCGCTGTTGAGCTTGTGGTGCTACTTTCTGTTTCTGTTTTCACAGGCATGTTTGTAACGTAGCTTATCATCCAGTCTGTAAAGTCCTGAGTAGTGTCGGCTTTCGGTTTGACTTTTAAATCCTTGAATGCCTTTGCGATGTTTTCAAGTTCATCCGTAGTGAATTCCACTGACATCCTTGTTGATTTCTTGTAGCGCACTTAAGTAAACCTGTATACTAGTTCTTAATTGCTAATCTTAACTAGGATACTAATCTAATGATAAATAAATATCTAATAAACTAACTTAACTAAACCTGAAAAAGAATTATAAGAATTATCCTGAAAAAAAAAATAATGTGATTTAAATCTAATTTAACTACATAATTCTAATCCAATCTCTTAACTAAGAATTTCTAAACTAAATATCAAACCTCTTAAGCTGTAGTTGTAATCTTCGGATGGCAACGTCAAAATGCACGAAATAACACGAAGTACAAACAATATAAATTCAAATAGCAAATGTCAAATGATAATAATATGGGATCAAGAAATTGTTTTCAAATTCAAATATGCTCAGTGGTTTACACCAATATAATCAATCTGAATCAAGTGGTTTAAAGAAGAAGCAATCAAAGACAGACAAACTTCTACAGGAATGTACCAGGATCTTCTGACTACAGACAAATGTTTTGATCAGATGAAAATACAACTAACTTAAACCACAGACTCAAAGTCTCAATACCAACTGACAACAACAGACATTTTGATCAGATAAGCGTAGTAGGTCTTACTGTCATAAAGGTTTTGTCAATTAATAAAGTTTAGTGGTTAATATTTACCTTAACCTCTTGTTAATCTGAAATATCTTTCACACTTCCTGATCTGTGACTCTTTCTTCAAAAATATATCTCAAGCAGTGTCAAAAATGGAGGCACAAACAATGGTGGTGATGATCGAGGTGATTTCAATGTAA